TTCTTCTTCTTCTTCTTCTTCTTCTTCTTCTTCTTCTTCTTCTTCTTCTTTTTTGGTTAATGGTGACGGATTAATGGGCCACTCCACTTTCTGCAAGTAGCATTCTCTGAATGTTTAACTATGCTAATGCGACTACTTATAAAAAGAGATAAATTGCCGTATTTACCTAGTGTTCTGAACTGCCTCTTTTAAAATAGACCTTGGCAAAAAAAACCCAAAAAACATCAAAAAACAATAAACAAAAAACCTTGGCTATCGTTGTCCCAGAGAAAGGGAGGCCCTAGCACAAATGTGAAGAGAATAAAATAAATTAATTTTTGGTCTTTGAGCTTCCGGCAGCCTAAGCCCTGGTGATTTAACGGTTTCTCAGTGATAATTTTGAACTACACAATATTTAAGAGATGACTTGAGAACCTCCTTCAGGTAAGATAAGGTAAGATGCAACTGTGCTGAACTCGGATACAGTTTCTTTATTTGTATAATTTTATACCAACATAGACAAAGAGTAATTACCTCATTACGCAGAAGAGGAAATTCAGGTGCTAAAACTTGGAGACCCACATGGGAAGGTTTCACAGTAAGTTATACTGGGACATGAGAATCTAGCTTTTAATGTTAATATTTTAGGATGTATTAACATTATGCTGTCAAACCAAGTTAGTCCCCCCCTCACCCACTTCCATTCCCATCCTGGCAGCCTGCTGCTAATTAGGAGTGTGGGTCAGATACTTTTATGTTAAGCATCAGTTCTTATGTGGACTTAATTTTAATTGACCATTGTCTTCTGGCTACTCTTGAGTGGAGAAACACAAATCTAAAGCTCCTGGTGGCAAGTGACAACAGGATGCATGTTTTAATGTAGAGGTTGAAAGGTTGTTCAGTTCACAAGACTGAATTAAAGGTTGACATCAGCCTTATTTGACTTATGGAAGGATTGATAACTGCTAATAGTTAAATTTATGCTTGTTTCTTCAGATGTTAGTTGCATTTTATATAGCCTTGAATTATAGTGGTGACTCAAAAAAAAATTTTTTTTAGGTGTTATCTAAACCAGATACCACATTTACACCTGAGGAAACAGACCAAGAAAAGTCGAGTGCCTTGTACCAAATCATTTAGTGGCAGTTAGGAATTGAATCCAGACATCCATGATCTAGTGCACTGCGTGATGCCTTTATAGGAACAATATACTACTTAAATTTCCTGAAAAAGCTGCTTCTGTGAACAAATTGTCAAGTATTATGAGAGACAATTATAGCAACTCTTGCTTTGCTCTAGTCCTTTGAGGAACTTGATAACTTAGAATGTAGGTTTAGAAGTAGGCAGGAAGCCTTCTGAAGTTGAAGCAAGTCTGTGTAAGTGGTGGCAGTTTTACATGAGTTGGTAATCCTACAGATACCAGCCACTTTTCACTGAGGACTGCATTTAGTGCAATTTTGTCAGCCTTAGTTTTCACAAACATGGTGTTAGGCTTGTTCCCATTTTGTGCCTAGTCTAACAGTAGCCCAAAAGATAGGTGTTACTGACTGGCTTTTACTGGTGAGGAGAGTGATTGAGATCACAAATTATCTAAATCTGAGTTTATGTCCAATGTTGTTTTTTATACCACACTTAAAATAATCAATGCTAAATGTAGTAATATGTAGCTTTTTGCAATGACAGAATATAAGATTAGAAACCAATGAGGACCAATGATCAACATACCTGGGTTCCGGGAGTCATTTTTTTTTTTTTTTTAGTTAACTGATTTCCCTCTTTTCTTCTCTGAACGTTTGTTTAATGAACTACTCAGTGATGATGATACTAATAGGTATCCCACAGTGTTGTTGGGTAGGTATGAAAGTGCTTTTAAATTTTATGGCATTTTATAAATGCAGTGTTCTCTCATTAAAGCAATTTGAACCCCCTAGAGAATAGTGTTATCTGAGAATAATTGTTTAAACTTTAAAATTTTTAAATAGAAAGCAAACTAACCTATTTAATTCCCTCATTTTACATTTTAAGAAACGAAAGCTAAGAGATGTTGGGATTTGTGTAAGCTCACACAAATAGTTGCAGATCTTGAACTAGAATCCAGATCTCTAGACACTTGGTTCAATGCCCTTTATAGTGTAGCATTCAACTATTAGGAATTCATAAACAGTGATTTGAATTAAAAAAAATTATTTATGAGAGAGAGACAGAGTGCAAGTAGGGGAGGGGCAGAGAGAGAGGAAGGCACAGAATCTGAAGCAGGTTCCAGGCTCTGAACTCTCAGCACGGAGCCTGATGAGGGGCTCGAACTCATGAACTGCGAATTCATGACCTGAGCTGAAGTTGGACACTCAACTGACTGAGTTGGCAAGTGACAACAGGATGTGCACCAACAATGATTTAAATTAAAAGCATTTTTAAAGTTTATTTATTTTGAGAGAGAAAGACAATGCGAGTGGGGGTTGGGCAGAGAGAGAGGGAGATAGAGAATCCCAAGCAGGCTCCGCGAGGTCAGCATGGAGCCCGATGTGGGGCTTGATCCCATAAACCGTGAGATTATGACCTGAGCTGAAATCAAGAGTCAGTCGCTCAACTTACTGAGCAACCCAGGAACCCCAAATTAAAAGCATTTTTTAAAAAAACCTTAGATCTTTGAGTGAATTTGGTGGAGATACTGTTTCTTTGGCTTACTATTTGCATTCTGCTCTGCTACATCATTACTGATGAAGAGTCTAAATTTATAGCCTCTATAACCAGTTATCCTTGAAGAATAATGTTTGTCTTTTGTTATATGTATCAGATTCCAGCTGGGCTCTATTTGGAAAATGATAGAACATATCTGATAAATTGATGCTTTTGTCATTTTTAATTGGCCCAATAGGAAAGTTGATGCTTGGGTTAAATTCAGGAGACAGGAAAATGTGCAGTGTCAGGACTAGACGAGAATCTTAGAGGGCATTTTACCTTTTCCTTTCTCTATACTGGTCCTTGAGGCCCAAAGTGAAGGGTATGTCCTAGTTAGACAGTGGTAGAGCTTAGGATCGAACTTAGGTTTTCTGACTCCCACTTTATGTACTTTTCACTGAGCAATACTGTTTCGAAATACTGCTATGAATATTGCTTTGTTTTCCTAACATCAGTGTCTAGTCTGGTTTTGGGCATTGCTTACAGCTGGATTTTGTCCCAGGGAAGACTAGGAAAATGAGGTAGGGAGATTGGGAGAGTGTTTGCTGTAGAGCTGAGGAACCCTATTCTTTGGCCTGCCCAGACAGGTCAGATTTGGTCTATTCTGGGACTTGACATGACTGTGCCCTACATGATGATTATGGAACCACTTTTGTGGGTTAGGCCTACATTGGAAAATTTATGTGGGCTGTGGGTTGGGTCCTATGGTGTTTTTCTCCTAACACTCAAGTCTTTTGAGATGCGTCCAGTAATATCTGCCAAGCCACTCAGATGGCGAACATTCATTTGGAGACTAAAATCTGGCTAAGAATGAAACTGCCTTACTTTGTTGAGTTGGTTTCTTTGGAGCCTTTAAATAGAATTTTCAAACTCATTGCAGGACTTGTGTCTTTTATAAGAATTATAAATTTCAGATTTACATAAACTTTTTTATGCTATGGGACTTCTTAGTGAGACAAGTGAGCTTTTAAATTAAAATGAAATTGTTTCATTTATGAAATATTCTGGAGAACTAAAACAGAAACCCTTCTGTTACAGAACTGTGCAGTGTTGTCAGTTGTTAATGCTCATATTTGTAAATAGGTCATCTTTCCTTGAAAAAGCACACAAGGTTTTCTAACTACAAATCTTTCCAGCCACAGTATTGCTACATTAAGAAATGTCAAAGATAAAAGGGAACCAAAATGGTTGCCTAGACTGTTTGAATGTTAACCCTCTCCTGTAACATTGTTAACATTCATATTTCTTTATCTTTTCATACCTACTCAGTTTTAAATTATTTTAAAAACGTTATAATAAAACATAAGTATGGATTTTTATTTTCAAAAAGCAAAGCTAACTTATAAATAGGGTGACCATATGTTCCAGTTTGCCCAGGACATTCCTGGATCATACTAGTTATCCTGGCATAATTATTAATAGTTCTTCCTTTATTCTCAAAGGTGTCCTGTTTGGGTGATAAATTATCTGGTCACCTACTTCTACACTGTAATAATTTTGTTGTAGTAGATTTTGGTCATTGAAATGTTACTTGAAATAGGACCATACAAGAATGGAATATTAGCCTTTTGGGGGGGGGTATATTTGGATGTTTTTCATTGGTCAGGTATTTTTATTGTACTGAGAGTTCTGGATGTCT